AAATGAAACAAACAAACCCTTACACTTCGTAGGTTGTCTTGCGAGATTTTTTTTTTAGGAAATTCTATGTGGTGGTGTTTAAGAATCAAAAATTCTATTTAGAAGATCAACTTTATTTGAGTTTTATTGAGTGACAATCTACGTTATGATTAAGTATAATGCCATTTTTATGTTTATGGCTAACCTTTAGTTTAAATAGATTTACTAACCAACCCCCAAAACCACAACTCCCAGCCTCCCACTACTCCTCTTCCCGACCACCAGAACCATCGTTGTCGCCAGTCACATCCCATGCATTGCCAATCCCAACCCTAGCCACACCCCACCACCAGTCCCAACCCCCGGCCACACCCCCACTATCAGCCCTAATCTACCACCAGCCCCATCCTCATCGCCAGCCCAACCACAAAAACCACCCTTTCCCTTTCCCCAGCCCTGAAAAATGCCACCTCAGCACCTCCTCTTTCCCCCATCTTGAAAATCACCACCCCTCCACCTCTTTATCCCCTCTCACATATCTTCCTAGCTCTAACCCTAGCCTAAAAACCAAATAGGTTCATTAGCTTAATCATGAGTTGCATTACCACACCCTCCATTTCTGTTCTTTAAATGGTGAAATTACTTCGCCCTTCAAACCACCTAGGGGTATTAGCCAAGGAGATCCCTTTTCCCCGTATTTATTTGTCATCTGCCTTGAAAGACTTTTATTAAGTATTGAATAATCGGTTGCTAATAATACGTGGAAACCGATTAAAATTGCCCCGGATGTGAGTATCTCTCATTTATTCTATGCGGATGATGTTTTCTTATTTGGTCAAGCTACCCTTGAAAATGCTTTTGTTTTTCTCGACGTCCTTGAAATGTTTGGAAATCAATCCAGTCTTAGAATCAGCTCTAGGAAATCAAAAATTATCTTCCCTCCTAAAATGCATAATAGCACCACAAGAAAAATAGCTTTTTACAACAGAGAAGTATTTGTTGGGAAATGCTATTTATCTGTTGTTAATAGTCTTTGCCAACGGATAATTTTCTGTTGGTCATTTGTTGGCAAAAATTCCATTGGTAAAAGTATTGCCAACAGATAATTATGGTCTGTTGGTATTATTATTTGTTACAACAGATATCCTTTGTTGGTAATTTTTGTTGGTAACGCATTTGCCAACAGTTGCTTAATATTGGAAATGTTTTTACCAACATTTATTGTAATGATGGTATAGGTTTTACCAATACATATAGTCTATTGGTAATAACTTTTTTCAATGTCTTTTTTAACTGTTTCATTGAATTTAAGTTGTTGGTAATACTATCAAGCTAAGCTTATAATTGCTATTTTTTTTCTCTATATTATAAAATTTCCCATAACTACTATCATGCACCATTATAAGAAAGCAAATTTCATTCATAAATCATGACACTTGTTTAATTTACATAAATATAACAATCCAAAACAATGTGAGCCATAATACTCTTCATTACAAGTTAGTTTCAAAAGAGAGCTTATGGTCTGCAAAACACCTTCAACTATCTGTCAAATGTACATCATATATAGCTAGGCATAAGCAAGATTCATTCCACCCAAAAAATATATATGTGCATGGTCTTCATCACTAATCATAATCATAAAATTCCATGTCTTCATCATTTTGTGCATGATAGTCATGTTCCTCACCTCCATAGTCATTAAAATCTTCATTATCTTTCTCATTTTCATCATTGCATTCACTACCAGCATTTTCCTCATCTTTAGCATTTTCCCCATCTTCTTCATCTTCTAGAAGAATAAGAATTTCTTCTTTTGACATACCCTAAAAATAAAATAAATCATTTATTAAATGAATAAGATAAATCATAGAAACAATAACAAGCTAAGTTAGAAGACAACTACAGTACTTTACTTTGTGTTTTCTAACATTTTCTCGTAATCTGAAACTAACTAATAACTAAATGAAAGGGGAGGTAAAGAAATTGAAATTATATTAGAAAGGGTGGAATTTTAGAGAGATTATAAATTAAACGAAAATAAAAGCATAAAGACAATGGAATTAATATCTCAATATCTCAAAATTTATTACCTGAAGTTGTAAGAATTTTGTCATCAAATTGGTCATTTTATCAAGATTCCTCTCCACTTTTTGAACTTTCATCTCCCTTCAATTCTCTTGGCACGCTCTTCCTCCAAAGCACATCTTTTTGTACGAGATCGAGGAACCTTAACCCCCAAGCCAAAAGTCTTAGCATAACCATTTTTATCTTCTCCCACATATTTTCTGAAAATGGCTAAGCGTTGTTCTTCATAAGCACATGGGCTAGAACTTTGAGGGAGGCGAGCTACAAAGTTCGTTCAAATAAAAATCTTCTTGAATTGCTTTCTACATATTTTAAAAGACAAAAGAAAAAAAAAATTTATAATTTGATAGTAGCTTGCTCTAAGTTTCCATAATCAACCAAAAATAATAAAGACAAACCATACTTTCACAGTAGCTGATGCATTATCAAGTCAAGAACCCTGTTTTGGTTCATGGGTTTCTAGCCATACGTCGAGAGGATCAGGCTCTTTTCCTTCTTTTTCCTGATACGGTAAAAAAAAATGTACAATGATATAATCAAACCACAATCCATTTATTGAAATAAAATGAAATAATAGATATTGCTAAGATACCTTTTTTCTGCTCGTATACATGCAAAACTCTTAGAGCCAGCATAATGACACATCATCGACTTGCTCCTATTTTCAATATTTCTTTTGCTTCTTTCCTAAAGTTTATTTGAACGAACTTGATTTCAGGATAAGCAAAATAAAAAAAGTAACTGTAAATGTTATATTTTTCTACTTATGCAGTACAAGATTTAAGGTTTTACCTCGCCTTTAGGAGATTCCCAAAACTCCACCAGATTCTTCCACATGTTTCCAGGTATATATGGTACTTATAATGCCCTTTGAGCAATTGCTTCTTCATGGGTTCTTCCATCAAAATATCTTATCTTTAACTCACATTTTTGGAGTCTCCATGCAGCATTCATAGTCTTCATTGCCCAATCATAAGGCTCTCGTCCTATGGGAAATTCAAATGATTGCTATACCAAAAAATACATAGTAAATATACAAAGTTTCTATGCAAATTAGATAGTAATTATTATTTACTAATTACCTTTGCTTCCTCCCACACACAATCTTTTTTTTTTTGACTTAGCAACCTCCAATCCCAACAATCTAATGGCAATCTTCTAGGATCTCGTGCTAGACAACCAATTAAAGAGGACAATTTCCTCCCTGTGTCACCAACAGGTTGTCCATATTCATTGACCTCAACAAACATACGATGCTTCAAAACCTTAGTTTTATTAGCACCACGACCTTTCTCATTCCTTGGTCGAGCTGCTTGAATTCTCCTCCTATTTGTGGTATTATAACCACATTGCGAGGGTATCTCATCATGATTAGTATAATCTGCTACATATTCTAGCCTTATTGGCTCATTGACGTTTGTTGAGGTATTAGATTCTAAGTTACCAATTGTATTAAGATGTCTTGGACTATGTCCTAGTCCAAACAACAAACATATATATAATGGTTTGTGAGAAGAAAATTTCATGACAAAGATGTTGATCATTAAAAGAAAACATTGGAAAAAAATGTATATATATAACTATATAAGAAAATATATAAATATAATATCCATACCGAGATGCATGCTACTTGAAGGAACATTTTGATCTCGGCTACCATTTTGATTCGAAATATTCTCCTTTTGTGGATTACTAGGATCACAACATGATGAAATTTGGAGTTCTTTACGTTGAGCTATAAAGATACCAAAAAACAAAAAAAATAAAAAAAATTATCATTCAAAAAACAAGTGACTGAATAATAATCCAATACGCATGCACATTCTATTATAAATTATTACTTACACATGCTGTTAAGTAGCATGGACCACCTCTTGATTGCTATTTTCCCTGAAATTGTGTTGTTATCATACTTTAGTATACTTCATTTAAATAGCTAAGACAAAAAGCAAATGTTGTAACTCTTATTAGAGAACATTATATATTGCTATAATATAATATATTGTGGTTCATGAATAAAATAAAAGCAATACATAATTAATTACCGGCACATGAATTTTCTGTAGAAGTTCCTGCATTTGAATGCACAGTGGTCACCCCATTTGTTGAGAAAATAGATCGTCGAGCATTTGGATGCGATATTGTGTTGGGAGTGGCAGAACTATTACCCCTTGGACTACGCCTTAATAATTTACCATTTGAATTTTTTGTACTCATTTGCTGTGTAAACATAAAAACAGAGAACTTATAACTAAAATAATTAAACTCAAGAAAAGATAGTAAAATACAATAGAGTATGAGAAATATACCACCAATTGATCCCGAGTTATCACCTTTCTCTTCAAAGAGGCCATGGTAGTTTGTTGCATGATCACCAAGTACCCTATCAACTATGTGCAATAGTATAGATATTAAGAGCTAAAATTTGTCTAGTATAAAAATAAGGAAGACATACACACACCACGCAAAAAAAAAAAAAAAAAAAAAGCTCTATTTTTTTTTTTTTTTTTGTGGTAAAAAAGGCTCTAAAACACGTTAGATGTAATAAAAAAATTATCATAAGTTGTTAATAATCATATAAAGTATCATCTTCTTCATCACTTTCACTACTACTATGATCCTCCTCTATTCCATCATGAACATTATCTTGAATCAGCTTGCTTAACATTTCATCAACTGTGACACCAGCAACATTTTGTCGTACTCTGTTAAATGTGTCAACATCTATGTCATTAGATGAATCATGAGGTGCATTCATATGATCCACTTCAGGTATCACATCTTCCTCCATTTCATATAGATCTCTAGGTTTTGTTATGATAACAACATGCCAATTTTTTTTCCTTCGACAACTCTGGGACATAGAATACTTGCATTGATTGGGATGCAAGAACAAAAGGCTCATCTGTTTTCCAATTTTTTTTCAAGTTGATTTAAGTAAATTCATCGTCTTTTTTAACCCCACTAATTGGATCTACCCAATCACAACGAAACAACAACACACTCCTTCCATGAGGATAAGTCAATTCCAAAATCTCAGTCAAGACTCCAAAGTATGCTACATTTCCAGCATTTGTGTCTGCATTAACAACCACCCCAAAATTTTGAGTTACGCATCCTTTATCAATTTTCTTCACACGCCATCGATAACCATTGTAAGTGACTTTTGTCATTGTATTCACCCACATGCTAGGAAAACAACTAAGATATTTCAGATCATCAGCTACACAAGTGTCGCTAGACACATGCATTGAAACCTGAAAATTTATGAAATTAATTAAGTTATAAAGTGACTTAACAAATAAACAAATAAATAATAATTTGGTTATGGTACCAAACTTACATTGTCAGCAAACCACTTTGAAAAATTTCTTTTATACATGTCATCAATAATCTCATAGTTATTGTTGTATTGCTCACAGAGAGCATTATAATACTCCCTAAAATACAACATATATAATCAGACGAAAGTAATTTGATATTATGAAAATAAAATACAAGCTAATAATTTAAAATTTACATACCTTGCATAAACCTGAACCTCCTCACAGTTAGCTAAAACGTAGTTATGGGCTTGTTCAATTACATAATAATCAGGCTTGTAGTTTCTCTTTTTTGACATTGCACGACATTTTAAGGAAAAAATTGACAATCCTTTATGTACGTCATTGCCATTCCCTTCATCGTTCCTTGATGGTCTATTCTCTTTTGTTTCCACATCTTGCATATATCGAGCACAAAAACCAAGACATTCTACAGCAAGGGCTCCATTTGCAATAGATGCTTCTGGACAACTTTTATTTCTCACATATGATTGTAACGTTTGTAGATACCTAGCACATACAATAAAATTCGTAATTAAAATATTTTATAGATTGTTAACAATTTCATATGATGAATAAAAATTGCATAAAAAAAATACCTTTCTATAGGATACATCCAGCGCTAGAAAACTGGACCGAGAATCTTTGCTTCATACGGTAAATGTATAACTAAGTGTACCATTATATCAAAGAAAGCTGGTAAAAAGATACACTCCATATGGCAAAGTATAACAACAATGCGCTTCTCTAACTTCTCTAAGTCTTCTACTGTTAGAGCCTTAGAGCATAACTCCTTGAAAAAGTTGCAAAAGTCAATCAACACGCGACTAACTTCTTTATTTTGCATTTCCTTAGAGCCAATGGTAACAATTGTTGCATAAGTATATGATGATCATGGCTTTTCAAACCAGAAAGTTTACCATCAACAAATCTCCTTTTAATATTTGCTGCATAACCATCTGGAACTCTAACAGAAGCTAATACAGCTAACATCTCTTCCTTTTCTTTCTTACTTAGTGTAAAACTCGTAGGAGGTAGATATGTCTTCCCACTAACTTCTTTTGGGTGGAGATTCTTTCTTATGTTCAAATGTACTAAATCAAGACGTGAGAGGGTAGTATCTTTTGATTTTCCTTCAATGCCAAAAAGTGTACCAATGATGCTCTCTGAAACATTCTTCTCCACATGCATGACATCTAGATTATGACGGATAGGTAGATGTTCCCAGTATTCTAATCTGAAAAAAGAGTTTTTCTTCTTCCATGGGACATTTTCTACCCCCTTTTTTCGCTTGTTTTTTTTATTCAATTTTTTGGTATCAGGGTGTTTTCCAAATACCACATTGACATCTTTCATTTGCTCTAATAGTTTTGATCCTGTCCAGGATCTAGGAGGAGGTGCTAACTCTACTCTCCCATCATATGCTTTTCCATTGTAGCGCAAAGCATCAGTTTCTTCTAAGAAGCGCCGAAACCTTGGGTAGCATAGTTTCTTGCTTCCTTTAAGATACATGGAGCATGTATCAACATTGCAATAAGGACATGCACGTTTACCTTTTATTGGCCAACCAGAGAGGTTACCATAGGCAGGGAAGTCGTTAATGGTATAAATTAAAGCTGCATGTAATGTGAATGTTTCACATCTTGAGGCATCATAAGTTTCTACACCGACCTTCCATAGTATTTATAACTAATCAATTAGAGGTTCTAAGAACACATCAATATCATTTCCTGGACCCTTGGGACCTGGTATAAGTAATGAAAGAATGAAATATGGTTGTTTCATACATAGCCAGGGAGGTAAATTATAAGTCATCAAAACTACCGGCAATATACTATATTGGGTACTCATCATACCAAAAGGATTAAAACCATCACTACTTAAGCCAAGCCTTACATTTCGAGGATCCTTAGAAAAATCATAATACCTCTCATCAAATTCTTTCCAAGCACATGAATCAGCAGGATGCCTCATCTTGCCATCCTTTTCCCGCTCAGCATGCCAACGCATGAGATGAGATGTTTTGGATGACATAAAGAGCCTTTTCAGCCTAGGGATCAAGGGAAAGTGACGCAATACCTTTACTGGAACCTTTTTACCATTAGCCAATTCTATGATTGTTCCATCATCTGATGTTTTCCACCGCAATGCATCACAAGTTGGGCATTTATCTGATCCAATTTTATCTTTCCAGAAAAGCACACAATCATTTGGGCATACATCGATTTTTTTATAATCCAAACCAAGCTTTTTAATGATATTTTTCATTTGTTTAAAAGAGTTTGGCAATATAGAATCTTCAGGAAGAGTTTTTTTTAAAAAGTTTGACTAGTGCATCAAATGCTACATCTGTCACACCATATAGACATTTTATATGATACATCTCAACAATAAAAGAAAGCTTGCTAAACTCTTCAAAACCATCATATAATGGTTGTCCAGCATCTTCGAGTAACTTAAAAAAGGCTTCAGCTTCAGCATTTATGCCAGATGAATTAGTTGTTGTTTCATGAAAGTCAAATGCATCTTCTACAATTTTAAAAATACCATCTTCACTTACATTATCACTAGCATTGTTCAAATTACCCTCTAAGCAATCATCATCAACAATAAACCCTGATTCTCCATGAAAAACCCAAATACAATTTTGATAATCAACATCCATTCCTTTCATAATCATGTGTTTCATCACTATGTGCCTTTCATGATACAAACGATTTGCACAAATTCCACATGGACAAGAAATCTTGTTTTCAATTGCATTTGTTGCAAATGCATGATCTAAAAATGAAGATAATGCCACTCTATACTGACCATGTGCTCTGTTTAATTTTACCCAACTTTTATCAGCAAACACATCCATGTTGACAATCCTACAATTTTATTAAGTTTTAAGTAATTAAACTCACTAACACATGAAGCACATAGTTTATCTAAACAAGAAAAGCTAGAATACTAAGCACACAAAAATAGAGGATATTTAAATTTTATGACAAGTGACATAAAATTTTATATAATGTCAAGTTACAAATTTCATTTAGTTTTAAAGACATACCTTTTCTTCAAGGTCAATGGTACCGAGAGTAATTTTAGTCAACTTCTTTTAATGAATTCCAAGAGGAAAATATTTTTGCAGAATGAGTTCAACAATTCTTGATGATCAACTGTAACAGTTGATGAAACCTGAGAATAATTCAAAAAAATGAAACCAATATAAGTTACAAGGAGGGAGAACAATTTAGTTTTATACGCAGTTTTGCATATAATTTACAACACTTTAGAAATTACAGTTAATTAGTCTCTCTTTTATCTTTACCCTCTCACATGTGGCTACATTGTTTCTTTTTTACTACTCCATCCATTTTTGTAATTGTTAAACTTTGATTGGCTCGTAATTTTAGATAGTTTACTTGACTTCAATGTAATAATGTGTAAGTGAAGTGGTTGAAGTATTAAAATTGTAATAAGAGATATTAGAGTTAAAAATTGTGAGTGGAAATAGTTAGTAATAACCTTAGTTATAACTAATGTGAGTGGAAATAGATATAACATTAGTAATAACCCAAACAAAACGTAAAGTAATTAGTAAAAAAATAGTCATTATAGACAATGTAACAATTAAAGATTAAACGGAGTATTAACTATTAACTATACGTGATTATATCTATAAGATTAGGCATCTATATATCATGCTTGTCTTTTTTAGCATACTATAACTTAGCCTTGGAGAAAATAATTAGGTTCCAATGCACTCACATATAGCACTCACTTAGTCACTTAAGATAACTATTCATATATCAAGAGCTGCTTATATATTTACATGTATATCAATGCCACATTTTTTTTTAATTTAATGAACTATTGAAGGTATGTCAATACTTGTTCATTTATCCATAACTTTTGCTTTATTAATCTTTTCTTATTACATATGTTCAGATTTTTTTAAGTAGGTACCTGTTTTCTTTCTAGCTCTTTTCATATAAGTATGTTCAAAGTTGTATAAAAAGAATATGTAAATATAAAAGTCTTTTTGATAAATAAAAAGCTAGACTATGATACATAGAAAACGAATTGGCACATAACAAAGCTACTACACTCCTCCAACTCCCACTCATCAACACACTCCCTTACCTTCACTGTTGAGTCACGGCAAAGTGAATCCAGAGAAATAGTCAACTTCTCTCCTTATGCCCAGCATTCCACACAACTTCAATGCCCCACTACTACAGCCCCTTCACTTACACACAAGGATTATAATAGACTCCTCACCAGTAAGACCCCAAACAGATCTAAACACAACGCATGTTATTGCTCTACTTATGGGATTCAGTCCTACCTTTTACCGAAGCATCAAAGTGCAAGCCTCTCTTCTCACCACAAAACCCCACCTCACTAGCCGCCCACCAAGCACACACCTCTCATTCCCTCTCTGATAGCCATAGTCACATCACCTAAACCCCCTTGTACATCCCCTTGCTTCTCAACCCATAACCAATCACCCATATCTCAACCCCAGGTCACACAATTCAATCACACATATATACAAATAACATCAACAACCAAATTATCTATAAAATAATTAGGCAATAAAAAGCACATACAAATAATTAGCGAAATATCTAAAAGTAATTTGGATATACAACCCAACACCCTTTCATAATGTTAATCTTTGATTTTTTTGCAAATAAATTTTTCTATACAAATGAAGAAATTCCAGGATACTAAACTAAAATATTATAATTTCCGAAAGAAAATGGAGAAAACATACTACTGGACTTGATTTCAGTGAATAATTAGTCTATTAAATACACTTTTCTAACCCTTAAACTCTAAAATATAATACCCCAAACCATTTTTCCTTGAAAATAAACCACATATACGTCTCATAACTAATAAGAATTTCCCTACAAAAATAGCTTTTCAAAATAGACAATAATTTCATATAAAATGAATATTATTACTTAACAAAACTTACAATAGATTTATCGCTGGGAAGTAACAAATTGAAATGGGAAATTTGCGGTTGTGAGCGATTACAGATTGCAATTGCTGAGGGTTCAAGAAAATTTCATCAATTTCTCCATATAAAAATGGCGGTGCTTCACATTCCTCAAAGGGGTTTGCATGGAAGAGGTTATTTTAGAAGTAGAAGATGATTAAAAAAAATTGCTAGAGTTGCATATAGATGAATAAGATGATTGATAGTTTTAGATTGCTTTTTTACTTTTGATAATAATATTAAATTCAAACTTTAGTACTTGCATACAGTAGCAATAGTACAAATTTTGTTTTGGTCTTATTGGAAATTTCGCTGAAGCAGGAAATGTGAAAAAAAGAGCGGGTACCGAAAACTTAGTCCAATAGAAATAAGAGTTGATGAAAATTTTATTGGTATTAAATTATTTAACCAACAAATAAAACTTTTTTGTTGGCATATGATTGTATGGTACAAGGACTCGTTGATTAAAACCAATAGACAACATATCTGTTGGTAATTCTAATTATTACCAACATATATATTATTTGTTGGTAAATTTCTGTGGGTAAAAGTCACTTTTCTTGTAGTGTAGGTTTAGAATATTAATTACTTCATCATGTCATATGCCTGGGTCTACCTCTTTGGGGAAATACTTAGGAGTATCTATCAGTCCTAATAGGCTAAAAAGATATTACTATGTGGAGGTGCTAGCAAAAACAAAAATCAAATCAAGGGATGGCAAGATAAACTTTTAAATTTAGCCGAAAGAAGAACCGTTATTAATTAAGTTCGTTCTCAACTCTTATCCTCTCTATGCTATGCAAACCTCTTTGATCCCTATTTCCATTCTAAATTATCTTGAAAAGACTTGTAGACGCTTTCTTTGGAACAGTTGACAAGGTTTAGTATCTCTCTAGAATGAAATGGGATAACATCCAACTTCCTATGGCTTTTGGGGGGGCTTGGAATCCGGAACTTAAAAATCTAGAATTTAGCCTTTATGGCTAAACTAGGTTGGAAACTTTTGAATCAACCTAACAAGTTGTGGGTAAGAATTCTTAAAGGAAGATATGACCTAAGCCATCTTTCTTGATTGTATCCCTTGTCATTTGAGTTCTCCTTTATGGAAGGATATTCTAAAAGGGAGAGATGTTCTTTAATAGGGGATTTTTGTTCAAATCGGGAACGGGAAAGACACTTCATTATGGTACCATCATTGGGTAGGAGATTATTCTATTTATATGCATCTTGATATCAATATTCCAGATTCTAAGGCTCATTGGAAGGTTGATAAAATCATCTTAAATGGGAGGTGGGATCTTAGCAGAATTGCTCATCTTTTGCCTCATGAAATTATTCATGATATTCTAAGCATTCTCCTCTCCCAAGTAGCTTATTTGAATTATAAATTGAGATGGAATTGTACTCCGAAAGGAATTTTCACAACCAAATCTGCTTATTTTCTTAAATACAACTGCACATCTCCAATTACTTCACTCCCCTAGTCATTGTCCAAATTATGGAAAATTCAATCTCCCTACAAATATAAAATGCTCCTTTGGAATGCAGCACATTCCATTCTTCCCACTGTCGAGTCTTTATCTCGGATCATCACTCCCAAATTTCCTAGATGCTATCTTGAAAATGAAACCCATATCCACCTATTTCGGGACTGTCCCTATTCTACTTCGATTTGGAAACACCATTTTGAGAAATCCATCTTACCGGATTCCTTAAATTTTGGGACCTTCTTTAACTCTTTGTGGGTGGATTGGATTATAATTTGACCTTAAATAGCAGTAGGAAAACATTCTTCATTGTTGTGCTTTGGCACATATGGAGAACTCGCAATCTTGCAATTTTCGAGCAATATGTGGAGCTTCATTCTACAACTTTCAATAGATTGCAAATAGATCTGTTTCATACTAATGTTGTATTTCAGGATGATGTGAAGGTAAAAGGAAAAATGACTCATTATGTTAAGCCCATATGGTCTCCTCCAGCCCCAGGCGGAGGAGCGGTTCTAAGGAATGAGAATGGAACATGGATCCCAAGGGCTTCTTTCAAACTGATGGAAAGAACTTTAGCTGAAGCAAAAGTTCTAAAAGTTCTGGCGATCAGGGAGGGTCTTCTCCTTGCTCTAAAGTAAACTCCCCCCAAACTTGAAATTGAAACTGATGTTGATGCAGTGCAAGAATTACTGATGAAGGCTGAAGATAACTTATCTCATGAATTTGGAGTGGTCATTGCGGATGTAGCCAACCTCATTAACTGTCCTTGGATTTGTGAA